GCTCAGGTCATGATCCCAGGGTCCTGGGATCGAGCCCCGCATCGGGCTCCCTGCTCAGCGGGGAGCCTGCTTCTCCCTCTCCCTCTGCTGCTCCCCCTGCTTGTGCTCTCTCTCTCTCGCTCTCTCTGTCAAATAAATACATAAAATCTTTAAAAAACGTATTTAATTTTTTTTTAATTTTGCATTTTTAAAGTCAGTGGAATACATACAATGAGCAGCAAGTGTTGAGTGTTAGAGCCAGATGCCATCTCACACAAGAAACAAAAACACCTTGATTTTTGAAAAATAACCTTTGACACCTTAAGAGGCTCTCATAAGTGCTTTTGTTCCAGGATCTTAAAAAATGACTTTCTGTGCACGTGAGAGAGGCAGCCCGGGGAGACTGATGTCCTTCGCTGTCTGTGCCAGGACTGAAGCAGCCTTCACAGCAGCCGTGCCCTGCCCAGTCCCCTCTCCCTTCTCTGTGATGACACATGCACCAAAGGGACAAACTCAGGGGCTTTCAGCAGGAACGTGGTCCCTGTGGCCTTCTTTTTTATGCGTAACCTTCTCAGGGTTCTAATTGGTGCCGGTCTCACTAGTGGTAATGGAGGAAATCTGTGAGCAGAAGGAAGACTCTAAGTCTAAAATCACCACAAAAAAAAAAAATAAATAAATAAAATCACCACAGATCGGTTCTCTAGAATTTTCCTGAGCAGAGGCTTATGGAATAACATGTGGCAGGTTTGTGAGGTGTAGACTTCCTTTTGAGGAGAAATCCCCAGCTGAACAGGTGTTCGGCTTGTACCGAGAGTACCAAACCAGAACCCCTAAAAATGACTCTGTTTTTCTGAGGAAACTAATCAGAGATTTTTTTTTTTCTCTTGAGAAAGATGATTTCAGTCCTCTAGAGCTCTTTTTAAATGTTAGTATGGCGGAGAACTGCATTTTTTATAGACAGATGTTGTTAAACGTGCGCCTGGTAATGATGTTTGTTCAGTGCCTATCTCTGAGGAATTCAGAGCACTTTATAGATGTTTTCTTCATTATTTCCTCAACGTTTTTCTTTTTCGGATCATATTTTAACTTAGCTATAAATTCTTCATTTAGTTTTTCTCACTGTATTTTCTCTGAAATATCTGCATTTCCGATATTACAAACTCACACCAATCCAGATATTCTAGGAAAGCATTCAGAAGTTTCCCTTTTAGTGTCTCAGGCTTCTCTTTGTCTTCTTGCCATTCTTCATGACTCTAAACAAACTCTCCCATCTATCGTATCTCCACCATACTTGCTCTCCCTTAAACAAATTGTTGAAACATAACTTACTTTTCTACATAAGAGGTTTCTGTTATACTTAGTTGTTCACTTGTTTCTAAGTGCTTGCTCCTTGCCTTGAGGTAGCTAATTTGAGGTAATTAAACATGTTCTTTCACATGAGCACTGTGTATTGGCACTATGAATCTAATATTCATAGCAGAGGGCTTTTTTTTTTTTTCCCTAAAATTGTTTCTCTTTTTAGTCCTCGGGAATTTGTTAACCCAGTGCTTGAAGAAACAATAAAAAAGAATCATTACTTAAAAAAAAAAAAAAAAAAATTGTTAACCCAGTGCTTGAAGAAACAATAAAAAAGAATCATTACTTAAAAAAAAAAAAAAAAAACAACGAATCATTACTTTAAGACAAGCTAATCTTTTTGTGTAAACAAATCAGACACTTCCCTCCCTTGAGGAAATAACCATGTAGAACACTTTTTCACTGGATTCTAATCAGATGGAAGTGTGGTAGAGAGCCTCAGTCCTAAAAAGATCCTGGGATCATGAGATTTTATGCAAGGCACCTTAGAAATCATTCCCTCATTTTACGGATATGGGAACTGAGACTCAGAGTTTTAAACATTTGTCCATGGTCACAAAAATACTTAGGGTTACATTCAGAATTTAGGGTAGGAGACAAGACCCCTGAAAAGTTAAAGTCACTAAATAAGGTAGTGAATAGCATGAAATAATGAATGATTTGGTTACTCTGGGCCATTTGTGGGTTGGCAAATATTTAATAACTGGGGGATGGGCAGGGGAAGCCCAGAATTGCGGTGTTTGCCAATTTCATGGGTGCCCCCAGCTAATTTCAAGCTATCGGCATGACGCCATTGAACAAGGAGTTGTGAAGAGAGGAGTGCTATCTAGTTGGTTCTCTAGAAAATGAAGATTGTCCGGCTAGAATGAACAGGTCTTTAAGGAGGAGGAGAACTGAGTTAGACCATTTCTCCCCACACATCATACCTTTCAGCTGTGAAGGACTATCTTTGATCTCTCTTTTGAGCAACAGTAGGACTTTGATCCTTTGCTCTTGCTATTGCCTTGGTGGATAGAGTACTCTTCACCTAATGCACTATCACATTTCAGGGCCCAGCTCAAAGACAAGGGTCTTCATCAAGCTTTTCCCCGACACTTTCAGAAATAATCACTTCTATTGTGAATCCCAGAGTACTTTATTTATACCTTTTATTAGGTAATTACCAAAGCCTAATTTGATGTTACATTCAGTAGATAGTGTCTTTCCTCTCTTGACCGTTCTCAGAGGACAGGGATCGTGATTTACTCCTTCAAGGGCAGAGCCCCAGTGCTGGGTAGTGGGTACAGCCCAAGCTTGGGAGCCAGATCGTTCAGCTTCAAATCCTGACATTGCACTCACGCACCATGACGGTGTGGGTAAGTCATCAAACCCTTCTGTTCTCCTCTGTAAAATGAGACATTAAATAATAGCCCCATCTCACAAGCTTGCTGCGATGATTAATGAGATTTTTAGAATGTTCAGTGCCTACTGTATCCTAAGCCCTTGCTAAATGCTACCTGGTATTGTTATCTGTAACACATAGCCCAGTGCTTAGCATGCAGTTGCTGTAGGTTGAAGTGAACTAAAGTGAAGCAAGGAATGACCCGGCTAGCTTAGTGGGAAGTTGAGAAAAGGTATGCTAGTGGGGACTCCGTATGCAGGTTATTATTGGATAAAGGAGAATGATCTAGTAAATAAAAATCATTTCTCATAGAATTATAGGATCAACAGCTACTTTCCCAGCTGTGGTATGATGAACACAGAGCAGAGTGGGATCATCTGTGCCCTTCCCTCACCCCATGTGCTAGATACTGTACATCCATAAAGATACCATTTGTTATTGCAATAGCTTTTATAAACTGCTGTTAGTTGAAATACCTCCTTTTAAATACTATGCAGTTGCTTTTTAAAAAATCTAAATGCTCGACTTCATGTATAAATATTATTAAATTTCATTCCATTTGGTTTAGCCCATTCTAGTTAATTCATATCACTTCCAACCTTGATTCTGCAATGCAGTCTATCTTCTATTCCATTTAGCTTTGTGTTATCTGCAGTTTTGTAAGCGTTACTTCTGTTTGGTTTTATGAAACACTATGCAGGCCACTTGTAAGAACAGAGTCTCCTGACATATCGCTAAAGACCTCTTTCCTTGTTGGCATTGATTCATTAAACAATCTTTTGTTTAATAAATATTTTAAACTCCTTTCAAATCTGTCAAAGTATACAATAATCGATATTATATTCCATGTTGTTCACAAGAGCATCATGAGAAACTTTGCCAAAATGCTATGTCTGCAGCATTTTTGTCTTACAGATAGAGTAAGTCTATTAGAAAAGAAAAGGCTGCTTGCTTGTTGAAACCTGTTCCTGATTAACCTATATTAGCCCTCAATACCAATAACTTCCTTTCCCAGTATGAACAAAGGATTCATATTTCAAAATAGTGAAGTTAACTCTGTCAAGGTAGACGAAGCTGAATGCACACACCTTGACCATGTAGGTGAGAAGTTTGGACACATCCCGAGGGCAGTGAGAGGCTGTTGGAATTCTTAAATAGCGGTTATACAACCAAGTGATGTTTTAGGAAGAGCCATCTGGCAGCAGTGTCCACAGTGCTCTCTGGGGGGTGGGTACCCTGTGTGAAGCTGGAGGTTGCCTGCAGCAATCCCAGAATGGGCTGCTGCACCACTGGACTAGGCTAATAGCAGTAAAGATAGAAGAGAAGAAATTTGGATTTAAAAGAAAAGACCCATGTGCCCGGCTAGCTCAGTCGGTAGAGCATGAGATTCTTAAAAGAAAAGACCCCAAAGAGACTATTGGGAGAAAATGATAAGAATGAAAAAAATAAATAAATAAAAATAGTTACATGAGGGATTCCCAACTTTTTCCCATCCCTGAACATGCAGAAAATGGTATCAGTTTGGCTACTGGAATAAATAGGGCGAGTTGGAGGTGACCCAACATCATGGGCCCCCAGGGTGGGGTCTTCCCTCCCCCAAGCTCTACCTCCCTTCTAACCACTAGCCGATGACATAAATATCCCCGAATGGCTGGGAAGCTATTTGGATAGTTCTACTTGAGAAATAAGTACTCTTAGCAGTATGAAGAAAAACAGACTTGCACCAAAATAGGACCTTCAGTTCAGAGAAGACAATACACAAAAAGGAAAGCAAACATTTGGTTCAGTGCCTAATTCTGAATACGAAAGTGAAATATGGACCAACAAGTTGGTCCAGGACACCAAGCCACTGTCCATGTTATAGTGATACAGTAAGACAAGGGCCACGGCTATACAGACCTAATATGGGTGTAGAAGTAGGCGGTGCCTACTAGGCAGGTGGGAGGGAGATACAAACCACACCTAGGGAGTTACCAGGTAGAAACCTAACTGTAGACAAAAGCAGACACAAAGGAAGGAATTTTGGTTTTGTACGAATGTGGAAATCTAAGCCTCTTTCCTTGAAAACTTATGAAGTGCTGCCCATTTGTTGCTCCTTATTGATTTATGTAGTTAATAATTGAGTAGTTCTGTAGTCCTGGTGCCACACTTACGCTGCTAATTTGCATTGCTGCATGGAGGAAATTATAGATTGGGAAAATGCAGGAGCTTACAATCCATAATTCCTGGGGTAATTGAAGATGTTTGGTTATAGAAAATGAAAAGGTGTTCCCTCTTCAGTAAACTCAAGGGCAGAGTGAGAACAAGCACCCACCAACAAAGTCCGACAGATTCTATTATAAAAATAGGAATGAATGGTTCTTCGAAAAGATAATGGAACCCACACATTTCTCCTGATGATTGGCAGCAGGGCCACCTCGTGAATGATTCCAGGGGGCACCCACTTATCACACCAGACTATGTTTGAATGGTGCTCCCTGAAGTTGGAGTACATAGCCTGTGCACACAGAAAGACCTATGCGATTCATCCCGGGGCTCCCACCAAACCCAGCAGGTGCATATCCGCCTTGACCCGTGGCATTCACCACCAGCCCAACCATGCTTCCTTCCCCAGCTAAGCTGCATCAGTATTCTTTAATCCTGACTTACCATTTTATTCCAATTCAGATCTACCCAGTTCTCCACATGGCTTCCCACTGGACCTCTGTTACAAGCCAAAACACATCCTTCTGGCTCATTTGCTCCAGTCATTCTGTTGACCTTTCCAGAGCTATTTGCTGCTCTCACTATCATGCTCCTTGTTACAGTTAAGTAGGAAAAAAACCACCAGCCACTCAAAGCAGGAAACTCCGGCATCCTCCCAACACTTGTATGAGCTTCTGTGTTAGCACTTACCATCTATCACTGTAAACATTTGTTTACATTTCTGACTCCTTCACTCAATGTGAGCTTGATGAAGGGCAGAATGATGCTTTGTTGAGCCCCAAGGTTTTGCAGGGTGCCCAGCACATGGTAGATCCTCTTTTAGTGTTTGGTAAGTGAGTGAGCAAATGAATATATTACCTTTCTTAGATATGGACATGGTAGACTCCTTTTGAGCATACAGGTTAAGAAGAATTTCCCCTCTACTATGTTCAATGCCTGTGACTGTTTACCTTTGTTTAATAGCTTCCTGGGTGATACCAGGAGAGGCTGCTGAGGTCTCTTGCCAGTGTTTCTGAGTCTTTTGTTTACCCCTGTGCAGGTGGGCAAGTGGAAAGACAAGTCCCTACAGATGAAGTACTACGTGTGGCCCCGAATGTGTCCTGAGACAGAAGAACAGGAGGATGACCATCTGAGCATTGTAACCCTGGAGGAGGCCCCCTTTGTCATTGTGGAAAGTGTGGACCCTCTGAGTGGAACCTGCATGAGGAACACAGTCCCCTGCCAAAAACGCATAGTCTCTGAGTATGGCCCCTTCCCCAGTGCTCCGGGTGGCGTGGGAGGCAGATTTACTACAGCTGTCAGCACCTGCCTGGGCGGGGACCTGAGGCATAGAATGAATTGGGCACCATGTTCAATTTTCAGTTGCTACTGAGCAATGGAATTACTGAGCAGCCCTGTGGTTCTGTCCAGATCCTGACCTGGGAGACTTACTGCTAACTATGCTCACATATCTATGGCCTTGCCTGCTCTCAACAGCCAGGACCTCAAATTTATAGAGATTCAAATTTGCATTGGTGTTGAACCATGTTTTCTTGAGCCATTGTGCCCTGAAATTTTGAGATTTAGAAACATTTTTGGAAATAGGTAAAAATAAGCTGCTATCCCATTACAAGTCAGATAATGATTCTCTTTGATAAGGGTGGGAAATGCCTGGAAGAGAAAATAAAAGTGTAATTTTTCTGTATCTCAATTTGGTGCTGGTTAAATGGGTGCATTCAGTGTGTGCAAATTTATCCAACTGAACCCTTAGGGGTAGGCGCACCTTCCTGATGTACATTATACTTCAAAGGAGCACTAAAAGATGTGAGAAAACATGGTTCAATATGATGAGCTAATGAAAGAATCAGGATTCTGTGGTCTCATTTATTTCCTCACTCAGGTCTGATGCACACTGTGCTGAGCGGTAAAGGGGAAGACCTGCTTTTGGGTTGGAGTTTTCCTGGTAAAGGGTAATACCTGCCTCTTGTATAAAGCCTTGTTTTTTTTGTTTTTTTTTGTTGTTGTTGTTGTTTGTTTCTTCAACTGGTTAGGAATAAAACAGATGAGGAGCCAGGTTACATCAAAAAGTGCTGCAAGGGGTTCTGTATTGACATCCTTAAGAAAATTTCTAAATCTGTGAAGTTCACTTACGATCTCTACCTGGTTACCAATGGCAAGCATGGGAAGAAGATCAATGGAACCTGGAACGGTATGATTGGAGAGGTGAGTGTCAGAACGTCAGGGCCATTTCCATTTTTCATGTATTTTGTTTCCTGCCAATATAAAAAAAAATGCTCCTCTATAAATTTTAGAAAGTAGAAAACAGTGAAGAGACTTCCCATTCCCACTCTACTAAGGAAACCGCTGCTGGGCTCTGTTCTCCGTGCGGCGGCCCCTTGCCTTCCTGAGCCCCCTAACGGAGCACTGTGCCTTTCTCCCAGGTGGTCATGAAGAGGGCCTACATGGCGGTGGGGTCGCTCACCATCAATGAGGAGCGGTCTGAGGTGGTCGACTTCTCTGTGCCCTTCATAGAGACCGGTATCAGTGTCATGGTGTCGCGTAGCAACGGGACTGTCTCACCTTCTGCCTTCTTAGGTAAGTGCTACGCTTGCCTGCAGGAAGCACATGGACATGAGGATGGGTACTTGGTGTGAGGATCAAGTGAAGGAGCACGTGGCCAGGCTGCCTCAGCCAAGAGTTGGTTTGGCAGGAGCTTATTTAATTTGGGGGACTTCAAAATCAATTATTCTCAAACGTGAACACTGAAAAATAACCCAAAACCAATAGGAGAGCATATGCCCCTGTAAGAAAACAGTGCTGGCTGGGCAGTCAGGGCTCCTACTCTAGTCCCATTCCTGCCACTTACTCATCACTTGACCCTGAGTAAATGTGCTCCATCCTGGGACTTAGTTTCCCTCATCCATAGAAGAAGCCATTTCAACCAGCTGATCTCTGAGGCTACTTCCTGCTTTAATAATCTCTAATTCTTGCTGTCATTGAAAAACTTTTTTAATTATCTTCCAGAATTGAGCTCCATGCTCCCAAAAGAGGTTTTCTGTTTTTACATGCATTTTTCTGAGCTTTGTCAGATACAGCTGATCCAATGCTTCCTTCCACTCTACCCCGTCCTTCCTTGTTCCATTCTGTACTTCCCTACTCTCCAGCATCACTTTTTGTGTCGAAAACCTTAGATAGGATATAAGACCTGGTGAGATAAGGCCAAGATTTCAATTAGATGAGCTCCTTTGTGAGCTCATACCCCATATTTTTTTGCAGGGGCCGTGAGAGCAAGGGGTGGGAAAATAAAATGTCACCTCGAGAACAGGACATTGGGCTAGGAGACAGGAGGCCTGGCTTGGCCACAAACAAACCGTAAGCCCTTGGATGAATCACAAACTCTCTGAAGGACATCAACTTTATCTTTTTTTTTCCATGAGGATATTGGAATAGACCTTGACTAGTGTTTCTTTAAGCTCTATTCCAGTGGGCAAGAGGGGGGAGGGGAAAGCTTTTAATTAATGTACTATAAAGTGGAGTTATAGGTCCCATAGAATTTTTCCATTAATTACTCAAGTTTCTCAGCTAGCCTTCTTACGGTGAGGCAGGTTCTGGCCCTGCCAATTTTATATGAAATGTTATTAGAGAGCACAGACATTATATGCATTAATCCTCATAGCAGCTTTATGTATTTTATTTGCTTTTTTCCTTTGCAAGGATAATTGGAACATTAAGAGATACAGACAAAACTACATTCTAATTCTTACCCATCGGTATAGCACTAACCTCAATTTCTGAACTGGAAGAGCCAGTGATGTATCAGCATAGCCCTAGAATGACATAGCGGGGCCAGGCAGGGTGCGTGTGTGCACACACATGTGTGTGCATGTGTGTGTGTGTGTGTGTGTGTGTGTGTGTTCAGAGGAGAAGCAGTTATTTGCAGGGGTAAAAGAAGCCAACATTTATTGAACACCTGTTAGGTGGTGTTCCAAGCATTACTATACATCCTTTTGTTATATTATCTCACTGATGCTCATCGATACTATTATTATACCCATTTTATGGCTCGGGAAACTGAGTCTTAGACCCAGTAAGCAATTTTCTAACAACCTGTCAGTTCACAGCTGACAGACCTAGGATTAAAGCCCAGATGTGGCTGCCTTCAGAGCCTGCATTCCAGTTCTCATGGGGACATTTCAGAGTGCAGCTCCTAAATCAGGCACCGATGTGGTGGGCAGAGACAAGGAAGTGATATAATACAATGAGAAAGTACAAACTTTGCCCCAGAAGACCTCAGATTATAACCTGGCCCTGCCACTTTCTGAGTAGGAACTTGGGAAAAGACCTTGACTTCTGTAAAATAGATATGGTAGTATCATAATGAAAGGGCCATTATAAGGATTATATAAAACATATGGTTAAAGTACTTTCTAAATCGTAAAAACCAATACAAATGTCTGTGATATTTTGTGTACAGAAGGCTGCCCTGGGCTCCATGGGGGAAAAGAAAGCCTGGAGAGGATGCTTTTACTCAGTTATTCCCTAATCTTAGTCAGCAATGAAATCAGGGTAGGACTGCAATCAGTGAGAACTGAGGGGGCGGGGGCCTTCCCTGCTCCACCATAGAGTGGCTTTGAATTAAACCTGCTGCCCTCACATCTCTGGCTGCCACTGAAAGGTTTTGCATTTCACGGTCGGTATGTGCCTTATCAGGGTCCTTTTTAAATTATCAAGTGACCAGGTTTTTATCATTCCCTTCAAAAGTGCAAAAGTAAAGTAGGTTTCAAGTAAAGAAAATATTTTCTAATTTCCAGCCAATTTTTCTCCTTTTCTCAACTTCATCTTTATTAATGATTTGGAAGATGGAAAAAACAGTATGTTAATTCACTTAGTTATGAGTTTACAATGTGATGTGACAGCTAAAAAGGCCAGAACTATTTTGAGACACAATTGAGGGAACATTGTATCGTGGGAATGCATAGCAATTGTCCCTTTTTGTAGGCCTTCAGAGAGGTGGCTCTTGGAATACAGTGTTCAATTTCTAGACACCTCCAAGCCAGAGAGCTTGAGATCCATGTAAGGGATTCAGCAAGAATGATTAAAGAAATTAAAGAAAGCACGTGGAGAACATTCTTGCTCTCTTGCCTGGTCTTATCCTGTCAACGCTTTCACTTGGTGTGAGGGAATAGCTTGTAGTTGTTCTGTTAATTATAGCTGAGGCATGTTCCCTTGTCATGGGCTACATTCCCACTGTTATAGATACCGATTGTCAATGTGGATGGATTTTTTTTTTTTTTTGACATTGACTTCTGTTCTCATGCCCTAATGATGCCCCATAAAATACACCACATCCAAGTGGGTTGTAAAGTAAATGTAGACTAGGAAGTTTAGGAGAGGTGAGGCAAGGGGGCAAAAGAGTTACTCATTGGATGTAGTTATTACCAAATCAAGTCAAGCCTGAAATAGCAACTAACATCTGTGGAGAATGAATTTGCGCACAAGGTTCGGAGGAAGCATTGGGGAAAGCTTTTTCCAGGCCTCCATCATGCAGTGTGGCCATATAGGGGACAACATAAACCAAGAACCTGTTCCCTATGATTCACTTACCCCAATCTAGTACTTCTTGCAGATGGACATTTGCTGGCAATAGCAGAAACTAACTCAAAAAGTTCATAGGCAAGAAGCTCTCCTTCTCATGTGTTTGAGAGAAAATAGACCTTGACCTGCCCATCAGGGCAACGGAGACACTCAGATGCAGCCTGTCACTCCTCCCCGACCCAGGCCCTGGCTCTCGGGAGAGACACAACACACCTGTGATTTGTTTCCCCCCAACAAAATACACGTTGCCTGAGCAAATGAATACGCAAATTAATCAGAATCTCTTTGTTCTCTGTTTTAATTCTGAGCACTGTTTTTTTTTTCCCCTCCCCAGAGCCATTCAGTGCTGACGTATGGGTTATGATGTTCGTGATGCTGCTCATCGTCTCAGCCGTGGCCGTCTTTGTCTTCGAGTACTTCAGCCCTGTGGGTTATAACAGGTGCCTCGCTGATGGCAGAGGTAAGGCCGGCTACGACTCTTACATTTCTGCATTGCCGTCTCTTGTTCTCCATTCTGAGTCTCTCTACTCCTCATTTAGTGTCTGCCCGCTCCCTGACTTACCCATTTCTGAAAATGAACCTTCAGCCTTCTATGTCAACAGCTTGGCAACTCATTAGAAATACCCCAATTAAGAGGTTAGTCCAGATCTCTATGTCCCTCGCTGGCAGAAGCCTCACCGGCGAGCCCAGTTCTACCCCAGGGTAAACGAGAGGGAAGCCGCTCGTAGATTCGTGTAGCATAAACATGTCAGAGGAAACTATTTTGATAACCTTAGGCTGTGAGCAGTCTGTTTGAACAGATGGACGAACAAGGCAGCTATACTCCATATATTAAGAATAAAGAAAATTAGGCTGCCCCGGGATATATGCAGCGTAGTTGTGGCTGAAGGAGTTCTCCACCTCTGAGGTACAAGATCTCCAAAGCCTATGACCCTGGCTCAGCTGCCCCTGCCAGGGAGTATAGACATTGGGTGGTTGAAATAAAGTGGCCAGCAGATAGCAATTTGCACCCATAGCTACCGTTGGGGGCAGTCCAGTTTTCTGGCTAAGTGGGTCCAGAGATATGAGGGCTGCCCATGTGTTCGAGGCGTTTATGAGGCTTCACAAAACATTTACTAGATTCTTGAAGGGGGACTTGGGACCCCTATAAATAACTCATCCGAAACTTTCTGAGAATCCCAGAATTAGGAACTACTACACTTTTTTCTGCACTGTCTTCTCCCATCCAGAATGAGTTTTATTCTGAAATTATGCCTCCAAGACGGAAGCCTTTTTTAACCCCAGCTACAAAGAATGATCTGTGGGGCACTTAAAAGACAAAGGTGCTTGGACCTCATTTTCTAATATTCTGACCCACTAATTCCAGGGTGGGTCTTGGACCACTACTGTGTTTCAAAATAGTGGTTTTCTACTTTGGTTGCAGGTTAGAATAACCACCCACCACAATTGAGTAAGAATCTTTGGGGCTGAGGGGCTTGGCAGCAGTGTTGTATGAAAACTCCCCTGGTACTTCTAGTAGTCCAGGTTGTGAACCACTGATGCCCTGAGGCATTTCCAGGGCCCAGCCTACCTTCTTCAGCTTGTGCATTCTGGCCTGGAAGTTTGAATGTCTCCACAATATGGTGCAATCAGGGGGCTTTGTACCTGTGCCAAAGGGTCTTCCAGAAGCCATGACCTGCTCCCCATCCCGAGGGGCATTAGTAACAAGCAAAACATCTGAGAAACACCTGAGTACGTACGTTATGTTGACAGCATCAAGAGCTCAAGTGAGCGTATGTTGTCCCTTCACCTTGAAGAAAATCAAGGAGGCAAAAAATCCAGCCACAAAATTCAGAGCGAGGGCTTAGAATTACTTAGGCAACCAAGGGGCGCCTGTGCTCACGAAGTGCTTTAAATATCAAGTCTCCTTGGGGCATTTTACAATGTACAAAGCTTTGATTTATGAACAACTTTGGAGTTACACATCTGTTCCATGAAATCAGGTCCACATGCACAGATGTGTGCGCACGGTTAGATACGAGGCTTGACATGGGTAGTCACTGATTTAGTTGTCAGAGCAGATGCTATCAGGATCACAGATAACATCGTAAGACCTGTGCTAATGTGTGGTGAAACTGTGTGGGCAGATGTTCGTTTCTGCAGTGGAGGGACTACATGCAGACCCAGACATCAGGCAAGATTTTGCCATCGCCAAGCATTGAAAGCGGCGAGGCAACAATAAATCTCTGGGCAGAAGTCTTGGCACTGTGAATATAAAGGTTGGGTGGAGGAGGGTCAGAGACAGTCTGCCTTTCTGCCCTCAGATAGCATGGCCAAGCCAGGGGTCTGTGACTTCCTCCCTGGGCTTCCTGATATTCTTGTACAAGAAGCTACCATGGTCGGAAACCCAGTTGGGATGCGTTGGCATTGGAGTGGGGTCGAGGTTGTCCTGGAAACATTTGGTGCTAAGTGCTAGAAGCTAAAGAAAAATTAGGATAAAGGACATCCAAAGCCATCTAGCATCCATGTGAATAAAATTGTAGGAGGTCCATGCCGAAGGTAGAAGAACATTCCATACGGTTCTTGTTGACCTTTTTTGAAGTTGAAATCCTTTCTTGGTAGATACAAATAGAAATTTTAGGAACAACAGTAATGAGGATGTGCGTGTGACAGTAATGGGGTAGTGGCCTTTGTCATTCAGTTTTCATGTGGTCTTGAGAGTCTTGTCTACATGGGGGCAGGAAGCTGGCCTTTCCAGTGCCCTAGCTGAGTGACGACCGTTAGTTGAAGCAGGATCCCACACACACCCCACGCCCCTGGATTTTCTTCTAAAGAACCCTCTTCTGCCTTCCTGGGGGGTCCCAGAAGAGAGACACAAACTCTCAACTTAAAAATGTCTGCCTCTTAGTCGGAGGGTTTCCTGCTTTGAGCAGGAACTGACCAGCTCTGTGTATTTGTCTACACAGAGCTGGTCTCTCTGTTTAGATAGGACCGGTGACTCTGTCTTAACTTTCTGTCCTTGTCTTTTCATCATGACAGAGCCAGGTGGCCCATCTTTTACCATCGGCAAAGCTATTTGGTTACTCTGGGGTCTCGTGTTTAACAACTCCGTACCTGTGCAGAACCCAAAGGGGACCACCTCCAAGATCATGGTGTCAGTGTGGGCCTTCTTTGCTGTCATCTTCCTGGCCAGCTACACTGCCAACTTAGCTGCCTTCATGATCCAAGAGGAGTATGTGGACCAGGTTTCTGGCCTGAGTGACAAAAAGGTAAGAGGACCATTTGAAGCCTCCCGTCTTCCCCTCAGTCCCATTCTGAGCCCATACTCAAAGTTCTCCTGTACCTGTTAATTTTCTCCATCTTTAGAATCGGCAGTTCTTTCTTATGTCTCCTTAAATTGGGACCTGGGAGCAAACATCAGTTTCCCTACCGAAATAATAGTACTTCACGTTCACTTTCTGATTTGTGAAAGGTTGTCACCAGCACTCCCCGGGCTGCAAATAAGGGGCTTGGTGTGTTAGCGGCTTCCTGAGCATGTGGTACCTCCTGCCGAACGTGCTTGGGTGGCCTGCTAGCACAGGGCTGCCCATTGGGTGTGTTATTAGAGGGCCGCCCCCTGCACCCACACCGAGGGCCCTGGCCCATTGTGGCCTCCGTTTTCCTCCAGGAGGGTAGTTCACATTGTTCCCGAAGAGAACTAACTGCTCTTTAACTGATGACTGCCCTGTGTGGTGCTGATGAATAGGTAGCCCCCATACCAATTGAGGCCTCCCTGCTGAGCTGTGCAGTTGCGAAAGGAACGAAAGTGTCCGCTGGTTTGCATCTTTTCTGGATGAGGATGTGCCAAGTCTGTCCTAAATACCATATTCTCTCGGCCTGCCAGAAGCATCACGGTTTCTGTGGGCGGTCTGTCTCCTGAAACAGCGATCGCCAACATGGTCCAAGATGAGTGAGAGGACCTACCTCCGTGAGGTGTCCGGTAGAACTCATGGATGCCCCACATAATTCTGGGAACTTCCACCCACAACACATTTCCTGCACTGTGTTTCCTTAAGATTTAGAAAATGTGATTTCCCACCCCTCTCCCCAGGTTGAAGCTATGAGGTATGGACAGATGTGTGTTTAGAACAGATAGGTCAGAGAGCTGGTGATTTCTAACGTGGGGTAGGTTTCCCCCAGATAAAACCTTAAACCCTTAACAGATGGTTTGAGAAGAGTATGAAGGAAGAGCTAGTCTTTTTGAGGGCCCAGGTTCTGATTTTTCCATCTATTCATCTCTACTCACCAAGAACACACAAAAGCATGTGAGGAAGGTAAACAAGCTTCTAAGGGAATGAAAAAAAAAATCTCTAAGTACATATATGGATCACTGTGTTTACCTTTTCATGTTATCTCTCTGACTCGTCTTCCTTTATTTTCTTCTTTATTTTTAAAAATAATACCTCTCTTTGTATTTCCTTCTCCCTTATTTTTAGGTTTTTGTTTACTTCTCGCTTCTAACGCATGATTTATTATTCATTTATTCATATATTCATGCATTTAATACTTCATTCATTTTAAATATTTCTCTTTGTTCCTTCGTCAACATCTTTCATCATTATGATCCTGGCTCAGAAAAGGTGAATTACATACCTCCCTTCACCTCCTGTTACACCAATTTTTGTGCCTGTTTCTAAAGCCTGGGCAGTAGTGGTGTTAAGAACAACTACCTCCTTAGGGCTCTACACTTGAATGTGGCGTAGGTGAGGTAGACCATGCCCATTCTAAAACAGGGATGTGGCAGCAGCATGGTAGACCATGTCCTCACACATGGATTTGTCAGAGGTATGGCAGACCATGTGCTCACATCAGGCTCTGCAGAGGTTTGGTAGGTGATGTCCCCACACACAATATGGTGGGACCATCTTGCCATGCCATCAGTAATATGGCAGAGATACTGTGGACCACAGTCCTTCTTGGAGCTCTGGGCTACTAAGTGAAGGATCCACATTTATCATTTTGTTTTCTTCAAGTATCTCTGAGGATTGCTTAAGACACTGTATTTATCGTTCCCATACATTCATGAGCCACCCGGCAACAACTGTATGATCTTCTATTTGAGATAAGCCTAATTAAGATGCAAGGAGATTGTTTTCCCTTTTGTGGTTTTGAATATATTGCTCGAGACTGCTTAAACAGAGAGGTTGTGCACCTGTCCGTCCTCCACACCATGTTGGTTATGTTCTGAAAAGTTAGGTCCCATCCGTTCTTTGCTTAGAGAACTTCAGTGGCTCCACTGTGTATAGAATAAAGACCTTTTCCCTGATTGCCTCTGAGGGCCTTCACATGTGATTCTCACTGGGCTCTAGCTGTCCAGGGTGGTCAGCCAGGCCTTAGGCTCTTACAGCCCAGGCTTCCTTGACTTCTCATCCTTCGGGCCATGCCTCTCCATCTGTGCATCTGCCTGGGATGTTCTTCTCCTGACTTCTTCACTCACCAAACTCCTATGGAACCCTCATGGCCCAGATTAGAGGTCACTTCGTTTGTGGAGCTTTCCTTGGCTCATCTGGACAGTGAGCCATTCTCTCCTCTGACCTGGTAGTCTTTCACCCCTTTATTAATAACACCTGTCTTCCACATGGTCCTGTCATAATCTGGACACCTGGACCTGACTGGATCTCCCCCATCTGACCATGAGCTCTGTTGGACCATGATCATAACTTGGTTATCCTGTTTTGTTTTGTTTTGTTTTTTAAAGTCTGTGGGGAGAGGGAAACGGTATATTTATGTAAGAGCCTCTCATGCAAAGCAGCAGACTCAGCATTATAGGCAAAGAAGGCAACAAGAGAGCAAGAACCCTTTAACAACGGTCTAATTTGAAAATACTTGAAAATGGATATCAGATACATTTTAGAACTTTGCAGATGACAAAATCGTAAAGCGTAAGCATCCTACCAGACAGTGTCAACATAATTTACATAATTATAGAAAACATTTAAGTAACTAATGACACACAACGCACATCAGTGTCAGGAATGCTAATATAAATCAGAAAGAGGGTTTTCTGAAAGTGCACTTAAAATGTCAAAATTGATACTAGTTTCCCTTCACAACACCTTAAGAAAACAAAGTCTTGGGCCTGTCTTCGCACAACAGCAAGTGTATTCTGTGAATTTAGAAAAAGAAAAGGTAAAGAATGAAGTCGTCAAGACAGGAACATTGAGAATAGATATGAGGTGATTTTGAAGATTCTTTTTTCAATGGAATTAAATTTTCATCAAGGAAAATAACATTTAAAATAGGAAAGAGTTCTTAAACTTGTTTTGACTGTCACGGATGGCGTATCTTCCATACAACTCAGATCAAGTGATAAATATCTTGGAGTGATGATGGGAAGGTATTTATAGCCATTAAATTTATATATCCTTAGGAAATTATCTTCAATTTTATGGCAGAAAAGTGTTTTCCAGATCTCATTTATGGTAAGGTACAAAATCAGAATGTTCAGAGTTAAATTTCCATGAAAACCTATTTTGGGGCTCCTTTTCACTGGATGGCTTCCATCTTGCAGTAGCGCATTACATCAGTGGGTTCAGAATTATCCCACTACATGCTGTATCTAAATATGGGTGCAAGTTCTAACATTTAGCAGCCCTACTGTACATTCCATCAGTTCCCCCAGCGGGAGGAGAATGTAAGGAAGCTGATGACCTCTTTCTGCTCTTAACAAAGAGCTCCCCATGCTCATTCTCCCGTGTCTCACCTCCCCAGACGGATTTCTCATTTTGCAGTCTGCCAGCCATAGAAAGAGCTTGGCCACCAGGTGAAGGAAGGGACATATTTGCTGGTCCCTACGTACATTATGCATGTTACATCTATTTTATATGTGTCCTCTGCATATAGGTATGACTATTCCCATTTTACAAATAAAGACCCCGAGACTCTGGGAAGTTTCTGGACTTCCCTAAAGTCCCACATTCTCAAGTGACAGAGCTAAAGGTTTGCGTCCCTGTGGGTTTGGCTCTAAAATCACTTCTCCAGGATATCTCCCTTCTAGCTCATCTTAGACAAAGTTATGATGTCTTGAAGGATTGGTATTGACACACCTGCCCCCACTTTTTCATTGAATTTTCGATTCTGTGATTTAATGAGTTTCTCTGTCAGTTTCACTTAACCCTGAGGTCACCATACGCTGCCTCCACCAGGACTACTGTTACTACGGATAATGGTAATAACAGTCATCATCATTATTAATATAACTTCAGCAATGCTATCTCTGCTCACATTTTTTTTTCAGCTTGTACAAGCCAGGCGTAAGGCCAGCTGCATTACACAGAGGATCTTATGTAATGGTGCTATTAATGTTTTCATTTGTCGATGAGGAAACTGAACCTGGGAAGGGTTAAGTCATTTTCCTTCTGATGTGCTTTGCCGCCTATAGCCCCTAAACAGTGTGCCATCCTGTTCAGGTCCCAGGGCTTAATTTTCATTCAACATCTTTCTTCCTATCCTCCCATCCACCTTGTCAAAGCATAACAAGTTAGATCCTTTTCATCTACCAAAAAGCAGCTGTCTGATGAACTGATCCACAATAATTAGATAGTATTTCAACATTTTCACTTTCTCTTTTTAATAAAGATTTTATTTATTTATTTATTTGAGAGAGAACATGAGTGGGGTAAAGGGGCAGAGGGAGAAGCAGACTCCCCACTGAGCAAGGAACCTGACGCGGGGCTCAATCCCGGGACCCCGGGATCATGACCTGAGCCGAAGGCAGACTGAGCAACCCAGGTGCCCCTCATTTGCACTTTCTTTAAGAAGTTTTTCAGAGGCACTCCTTTAAAAAGAGAAGGCTGGTGATTTCTAGTACTTGTACAGGCTAATGGCCCACACATTGACTTTAGCCTGAGCTTAGTGTGACCCTGAGCTTTAAGCCACTGTTGGAGGGTGGGAGAGGAGTGGCAGCAGGAGAGAGAAGGGGCAGCTATGGGGTCGTGGGGTGAAGGAAGCAGAGGTTGCCGTCTGACCACTGGGTTCCCCAGGGTGCTTGGCGGCATCCTGCTTCACACATTCCTACCCCCAATGTCATATGTACCCACAGTGTAGTTTGCAGTTCTTGCCCTCAAGGAACTGTAGGAATTTTTATTAACTTTAAAACGTCCAAAAAGTGCCTGTCTAATTAACGAGGGCAACCACCTTTGCCTGCAACACTGAAGGTACAATCAGGACAGCCTTCTAACAACTAAATGAGCACCCATGGCTTTTCTAGATAATGATTATTCTGTGTGAAGTCTTGTAGCATCTTGAAGTCACCTCGCACCCTTTTGGAAAAGAGACCATGTAGGACTTTTAAATCAACATGCAAACAAGTCAGTATGCATTCTGGAAGAGAACCAGCCTGGTGATAAGTATATTTACACCACGGTACACTGAAATGTAATGATTGGATGGTATTTGAGCATGTGAGGAAATGGGCCCTGTTCTTTCCGCTGTTCAGATGTGTCTTCCTTGCCCTATTCATTTCAGGCTGAAAGCCAGTGAGAGACAGCTGACCTCAAGCTTGATCTGTCACACCTTGGTCCTGGCACAGACCTTCTTGGTCAGATCACGGACTACTGAGGCAAAAATAGCTTACTAGGGCAAGTGGCAGGCGTGACTAATGAGCCAGGGAGCTAGAAATGGGTGCCTGGACTGGACCTTCAGGTAGCTGTGCAAACTAGGGTGTGCTTTCTTACGTGGGAGTCCTGTGGAGCTGTCAAACAACTGGTCCTCTTGTAGTAGCTGGCCAAGAGCAATTCTGGAGGAAGTGATAAGAAAAGAAAACTCCCCCGAGCCTGGGAGGACACAGGGCACAGGGCACGCATGTGGCAGGGAAGGGACACCCGCCCCTTTGTCTCTCAATTACCAGAACCAATCTGACATTGTACATGGACCACTACCCCAAGTACTGAGCCTCCCTCATTCCTTCCAGGCTGGACTGCACCCAGATGCATCCAGAGCAAAGCCTGGAGCTTGCCCAGGCCTAGTGCTCTTGCTCAGGGTCATCTCTCACCACTTTGCTAGTGTTGTTTGAAAATGAGACTACTTCTGCCCACTCCTAATTCCTGAGTCCATTTTGACTTGCCTGGATGCCTTGACCGAGGCATTTGTGGGGCTTTGCAGTGGTCACCCTCCCAGTCCCAGGATGCAGATGGCTACGGGGCTCCCAAGGGGGGTCCAGAGTCTCCTTTCTCTCCTTTCTGTGTACCCCTTCACAGCATCAGGCTTCACTGTGTCCTCCTCTCCTTGAGTGACCACCTGCTTCCTGATGTTCCATGGCTTCCCACACAGCATTCCTCACCCCTGACCTCTGCTGTATTGTCGGGGCTTATCTTGGGTTGAATGGACACCCCCTCACCCCCCCGCCCCTGCTCCCAAAAGATACATTCATGTCCTAACCGTGGATCCTGTGAGTGTTACCTTTATTTGGAAAAAAAAAGATCTTTGCAGATGTAATTAAGTTAAGGATCTCAAGATAAGATCATCCTGGATTATCGGGGTTGGTGCTAAATCCAGTGACAAGTGTCCTTATAAGAGAAAGGCAGAGATTTGACTCAGAAGAGAAGATCAGGAGAAGGCAGAAGCAGAGATTGGAGTGTTGCAACCACAAGAACCATCTGGGAGCTGGAAGAGGCAAGGAACAGACTCTCCCCTAGAGCTTCTGGAGGGAGCACAGCACTGGCACTTTGATTTCAGACCTCTGGCCTCCAGAACTGTGTGAAAATAACTCTGGGTTGCTGTAAGCCACCATGTCCATGGTAGTTTGCTACGGCAGCCCCAGGAAACGGATACAGGGCCTTCGTGACTCTCCTATGACCTGCTCTCTGAGCTCCCCTCAGACATTAGACTTCGGGGTCTCTCCTATTCATCTCCATCTCCTCTGTCAGCACCCAGACCCACCCTTCCGAAGTGGGTATTTCTTACAGCAGCATCCGGTTCAGCTCCTCTTCTCACGAATCTCCTTTGCTTCGAAGAATTGATCTCCATCACACTGAAGATTTGCAGAGACATGTTGTACACACCACGGAGGTCTTCTCCATGCTCTTGAATTTTAGGGAGACAGTCAAAAACCCAAGTGTCCTTGAGGGCTCCCGTTTGCTCTGTCCTTGAGGCTGAGGACTGTTCATTTCTCGCAGCATGTAGCATGTTAGATGTGTGCGCACTTCCCACGAAATCTTCTACTAGACCTCTTCATAGTAACATCATTGTCAAGGGGGATGGAGGACTTGTTTTTGTGTGCTATATCATTTCCACAACTCTTTTCTAGGGACAATATTATTAATGCACCCCTCTCATATTCTGGATTGTGTTGTATTGTTCAAATCACAGAACTGGAAGGGACTTTATTTGATCATAAGGCACAGGGGACATCTTTCTCAATAAAGGTAAACAGGTGTCCTCTCTTCGTGTGGATGAACATATCTTCCTTGTTAGATTCTTTGTTACACAGGAGTGCACATTTATATATGTACATGTATGTTCATATGTGTATATATATGTATAATACATATACATACATATATAGGCAGTTGACCTTTGAATAGCGTGGGGGTAGGGGCGCCAATCCCCTGCACAGTAAAAAATCTGAGTGTAAGTTTTGATTCCCCAGAAACTGAACTGCTAATAGCCTACTGTTGACCGGAAGCCTTACTTATTACATAAATAGTTGATTAACACATATTTTGTATATTTATATGGATTATATACTGTATTCCTACAATAAAGCTAGAGAAAAAGATGTTACTAAGAAAATCATAAGGAAGATGGGGGTACTTGGGTGGCTCAGTGGGCTGAGCATCTGGCTGTTGACTTCGGCTTAGGTCATAATCTCAGGGTCCTGGGATCGAGCCCTGCATCAGACTCCACCCTCAGTGAGGAGTCTGCTTGAGGATTTCTCTCCTCTCTCTATGTCCCTACCCCCTCCACTCAAGCTCTCTCTCTAAAACAAAAAAGAAAAAAGAAAACCATAAGGAAGAGAAAATACATTTATAGGACTGTACTATATAAAAAAAAAGTCCTCATTTAAGTGGACCTGGGCAGTTCAAACCTGTGTTGTTCAAAGGTCAATTGTATATCCATCCTCCAAAAGTACACACAGACAACAAGATAACTGGTTAGCTAGGAACTTGACACAAAGCTACACTAGGAACACGAGCTTCCCCTGTGCATAGAACATAAGCTTTATAATGTGGATCTGAGGAAGGTTTTCTTATCTGGAAAAAGAAGAAAGTTTTGTCTCATTCTGTTGATATTAGCAGAACCGTCTTTCTGTGAAATGAATCAAAACAAGAGAAAATGAAATGAAGGCAGGAAGGAAGGAGAAAGGAAAGAAATAGAAATAAAGGACGGAGGGAAGGAAGGAACGAAGGAAGGAAGAAGAAAGGAGAGGAAAGAAAAGCATCAGAACCAATCTTTGGCTCTGCGTAACTCTTCTTAGAAAGATGTCCCTAAGTAAGATACTAGAAGAATAGAAGCCTTCCCGGAGCCATAACATTTTTAAAATGGCAACTAAACAAACTAGCATGAGTGTGAATTCATAATTTCCCCACCTCAATTGAGTTGAACTGGGCCCCAAATAAAACCAGCAATAGGCAACAAATGATTTCAGTTAAGAGAAATCAAAGCATACAGCGTGGCATGCTGTACTTAAGTTTTAGGTGCTCTGGGAGTGGGAGAAGCTTGAGCACTTCTTTGAACTGGTCAGATTATACGAATTTATCTGTGTGGCTTCTGTCTCAGGCCTCTCACTGTCAGGCCGTCTCTCCCAGGTTGAGAAGAGCAAGGGGCTCTGGGGACCCCAGGGATGGATGGAATCTATTTACAGCTTAGTCTCTGGTCCCAAGAGAACACAGCAAACAAGAGAGGTCCTCAACATCTTTTTTCCCCCCCTCTCATTAAAAACAAAAACTAGAAATAAGTGTTTCAGTATAAGGGGGCTAAACTTTTATATGCTCACTGAATCTTGGCTTGTGGGTTGAGGATTTATTAAGAATTAGTATTTCACGATGGGCAACTAAGTTCAAGTCCTTGGAGACAAATTAATGCAGCTGTGAAAATTTATATGTGGCCAAAGGCATCAGGCCTAAAATGAATCAGGTTTTAGAGATGTCACACTTGTATCCATAGTAAACACGGTGGCCTGTGCAGGCTCTCGGCTTTGTGGATGCTTCAGCCTTTTGCCCTTCCAGTGCTCCACCCCCCTTGTCATAATGACGACAAGAGTGGACAAGGGTCCCAGTGGGCTGTGTGAGGCCTGTTATATTTTTGGAAGATTTCTGCACAGCAGGGCATGTGCTGGGGCCAGTGGGGGCCTGAGAGCGCCGGAGGCTGGGGAAGTCCAACCATGTCATTCACAATTCGATGCTGGGTTTTCCATTTCCAGCCTGGCTCGCAGAGAGCCATTAAGAGACCACCCACGTGCTGTATTTCCTCTGGCATTTTTATCCAGTCTTGTCTGGGGGGCTTTGATTCAGACTATCAAAGGTGTTAACCCCAGGCCAATATGATCCTACATGCAGCTTGGACTTTGGGGGGGCAGTCAGGAGGAAGAAGAGCAGAGTCTCGGGTCCTCACTTTAACAATTTGATGGTCAGTCCGTTCGAGTAGATCTTTTTGTTGTGGGGACGTAAGAGCAGTGGGTGCCTAGGGAGGGGGTGGCGTAGAGCAGAGCATGAATATTAGAGTCACTTGGGGAACCCTTTCAAATAAATAGGACTCTGTCCATGCAGGTAGAAATTAAAGTATAGGTGTGAAAGCTCCCACCTAACAGGACCTGCCAGGAGGCGGCTGGGAAACCACAGTATAAGAAGGATCATGAGAGCAAACTACTTTGGGGGAAGTAATTAGAGGGTTCTGGCATCCCCCCTTTTCTCCCAGTCGCCTCAAACCTACTGAAGGCGCTTTGCAGGGATCATTTGGAGCGCTTGGTATTCACCACCTGCAGTTAGAATGGAGAAGGGGCTGGCGTTTGGCCTGGACCTGAGAGGATTTCAAGGGTGACAGGTCTTGGCTCAAGCCAGTCACCTGGTGGGAGGGCCTTGGTTCCTCCGGTCTAGATTAGGCCATGAGGACAACAGGGAGTCAGGCTGGGCCAGGAGTGGAGGCAGGTGTTTTTAAAGATCCCCTGCTCAGAGGGCGTCCTGCTCAGGATGAGGCAGCCGAAACAGAAATAGGCAGGAGGGGTGTCATCTGATGGAGAAGCCGAAGGGACCGATGTAAGCAACCAGCTGCCTTCAGGGGGTGGCAGACCAGAGTTCTCACTTTGAGAGACTCTCTGAAGAACCCACAAACTTGTCTGACATGGGGAACAGTCTGCTTTGAACACCGGCCATGCAGAGAGACCATCAAAGCTAGATCACCGCCAAGCCCCTCAAGTGAGGGCTCTCCTGCCTCCAAGGACCTTTCCTGTCCCCACTGCCTTTCTCCCCAGCCCCGAGTGGGAGGAGAACAGCTTGAATACAGGATCCGTAATGGCTGCCTTCACTTTGACTTTTATCTTGGCC